ATAAAATTTCATTTTAAATTATTTATTTTACTTGAATTTGTTCTATTATCCATTTAACTATATTATTATGTCGTGTTTTTATTTTTTGACTATGAACAATTCTATATAATTTTGATTGATGTATTGCTAATATAAAACCATAGATTAAACCTTTAAAATAAACAATTTATTTAGAGACTGTATATACATATATATGCATACATACCGATTGATATTAATGTAAAACAAATGGAGAAAAGTGTATAGTAAATAAAAAAATAGACGAATATACAAATCGTCGGAATGAGTAAAATAGAAGTTTTATAATTTGTCCAAATCATTAATGATCATCTAAAACGAGAACTCTTTTTATCATATTCATTACTTGGTTACAGGATACATCAGCATCAAGTTTTATACATGTTATATAATCAATGTCCCCTTATCTTCTTTATATTCAAAATATTCTCGTTTTTTTCTTTTTATAAAGAACATGCAATAATGAATTATCTAATTCCCCGTATCCAATATCTATTGTTAAAGAATCAACTAGCTTTACGAAGAATATCATTCGATCTAAAATTATAATAAAAAATTTCTAATTTTGTTCGATTGAAAGAATTCTTCACAAGTAAATCACGTTACTTTTTGAAATCAATAATTTAGTTTTAATTTTTAACTTATTCATATTATCTCGTAGAAAACAAAACTTCAATCGAAATCATTATGTATTCAGATGAGACTCTTTAGGAAATCTGTGTAAATAAATCTTTTCATCTAAGAACCAAAAGAAACAACGATTAAGTTTTCAAAACTAGGTTATAAATCTCTTTAAGATTTCAAATGAAATATAAATAAAAAAATAAAACTATTTTATAAGTTGTAATCATGTTAAATATCACAAAAATAAAAGAAAAGATTCAATCTATTGATTCAGTTTTATAGCATATTTCATTTTCTTCCATAATGCAATACACATTACTGGTAAACGATCTTCAGTAATATCTTTTTGTTGAATACGACGATATTGAAATCTAAATATACAATGTTAGAAAAAAAATATTTTATTATCTTTGTTTTTCTCTTTACCGAAGTATAGTTCGCACTTCATCATAACGCTTCTGTTGTAAATAACTTAATGACAAAAATAAATAAGATTTAACTAATGCATTTGGATCACCAATTTCCGATGATAAACGTATTTGATTTTTTGATATTGCTTCAGCTTCTTTTGCCTAAATATTTCTTGATGAAATAGAGAAAAACAAAAACATATTTTTATATTTACATGTTCAGCAGATATTTCACCAAGACATGAATGACCACCACCTAATGTTGATAACCATGCCCATGATGATTCATAACGAACACGTTTTACTAAAACAGACAATTGAATCGATGCCCTATTTGATTATAAATAAGAAAATACGAATAAGAAAATCATTTAATTAATATCTACCAATAACGATTAATCCATTCATCGAATTGATTTATTTTAGGATAAACTTGTAAATAAATAATATTTTGACGATGATTAATTGAAGAAAAAATATATTTGAGACGTTTTCGATAGGATTTATTATTAAATTGACTGACAAGATAATAGAATATATTTGCAAAATTGGACGATGATGAAAGTTCACTGAGAAGTACAGTGTAAAAATATAAATTCGATGAGATTTGACAATGAATTACTGGAAGATTTTCTTCATTATCATCACCATTGAATGATGGACGATTGAGTGAAAAATGAATCGGTGAGTCTTTATGACTGATCAATATAGACATTGAGTTAAACGGAGATCAGAAACAGACAGTAAAATATGTCAATTTTGTTCGTTCGGCTATTAGGTTTGAAGAAATCTTAAAATTATATCAAGACAATATTAGAGATCCTATAAAAAACTATATCGAAAGAGGGCGTAAGATGATAATAAATAGAACTCTTAATATCTTTTTAATCAAGAGAATATATGAAATTGAAGTTATATTAATAGAATAAGACTCTTTAAACTAAGCGCATGACCTACTAATTATTAAACAGTTGACGTAGTACTTTTATGCCTACGAAGAATAGTTTTGATATATTCCAGATCCTTTATTCTCATAAATATTGCATACATAATATACAAAAATAAAAATACTTCAGCAAAACGTTTTTTTTATTTATATAAATTCAAAAACGATTGATAGGATGAGCCCACATTATTTGTGATATTCGTCGACACAATAAATTTCGATGACTATGATATTTTAAACGATTAAAAAGTCGAATAAGTTCAGTACGAAAAAGTTTTCCACGTAATGTATGTACAAAAAACATTCCACTTGGATTAATATATGAAATAGCAACTGAAAGTTGATATGCAAAGTATTCATTATAAATTTGTTCATTTGCTTTTTCAATTGAAATTGTTATCGATAGATAAAATTTGATAATACTAATAGGAAACATACATATACCAATTAATGCTACTTGAAGTAGTAACATTGATATAAGTTGTTTATCACGTCGATTGATTTTATTTATTGATCCAATATATGATGGAAGTTGTCCAATACGTTGATAACTTCGCTTGATATTTATTAACATACCAGCACCAAAACCTAACATTAAACTTGATGGTAAAAAACTATTGAATATTAAATAACTAGCTGTATCAATATATGAACAATATTTATCTTTCGTTTTACAATATCCATTAGTTATAAAAGATGCTTCAAAACAATAAAAAACTTCTACATAACATAATAAACTAAATATTAATATAAATAATATTATACGATTAGTTCGTTTTCGATTCATCCATTGTCGATATGTCATATTTAATGATGATGATAAGTATCTATCGACACAAGCAAGTACAATCAACCAAAGAGATCCTGATTGACATACATATATAAGATAATAACGCATTGGACAAAATATTGATGCATTATAAGTTAAATCAATATTGTAACCCATTAAACATCGTAAAAAAACACCAAAGATAAGTATTATTAAATTTAAAAAACTTGATATTAATAAACATAAAACACAAGTATTCCGACGAAGATGTGGTCGACTAAAAATATATACATTTAATAAATTTCCCCAAATACCAATAATACCGAGAAATAAAATTCCATAACGATTCATTGCTGATATACCAATTGTTGCAAGTCGTGATGATGCAATACCGCCCATAATTTATTATTATCTAGATACTCGCTTAGCGCTATGAGACGAATGTCAACTATGAAAAAAAATAGAACAAAAAAGATGATAAACTGATTCAATAACATAATTAATAATGCATACTATTTAGTTTTATTTTTATACTTGGTGACACTTAAAGTTAGTAAAAATAATATTAGATGACATGAAAAACGTGTTGCATCAATACGAATCTGCACTTATTCTATTGATGAAACTATTTTATAAATAGAAACGCACGTTCATAATATTGTTTATGTAAAGTATATTAAAAAGTCCTTATTGATTTCAGAACGTTTAGAAAACAATTACAAGATCATATTCAACAAATACAAAATATTAAAAGTCATTATTATGCAAAACTTAATACTACCTAAGAGGAATTCGAAATAGTATAATTTAACGTTGAAACTGTTTTCTTGGTAATAAAATAGCAATACTCGCCTTAGTGGATTAGTAACGAATTTATGAAATATTGCTAAAGTTATTCAAGAATATGCATAGATAGTTTAAAAACTGGATGAGCAAACTTTCGAAATCAGTAGAGATAGAAACATCACTTTTTTAAATTAATAAGCAATTTGATAAAAACGATTCAAGAACATAGATGGAATTCGATGATGATCGAAATAATTTATAATCGTTTATTTGATATAAAAAAAATCATTACTCAGCATAATCACAAATAGCCAAGGTAAAATACGAAAAAAGATAAATAATGCTTTTCTGCATTGAATCAAATAAAAATATCTTTAAATCATGACTTTTTTCATTAAAAAGAATACTGAAAAATATCTCTCTGTTTATCATACGTTAACCGTATATATTGCTATTATTTTTTATATGTTTTTGCTTTGGTTCATGAACTAGTGTTTTTAATAGCAAAATATCATACCATGCCAATGGTAAAAAAAACATGTCGAGAAAACATAGACAAAGTTTTTACTATTCATATATTTTCATGATGAAATAGTTCTAGAGAAAAAATAATGTAAACGAAGTAAAACATATCAACAACAATCATAATAAATACAGTTGTTCGCAAAAAAACTTGGAAAATTGTTTTTTTAAACAACTATTTTTCTACTGTTACAAATGAATATAAAACTGATTTTTCCAGGAATAAATCCTTAAGAGATATACTACATGTTGTATATATAAAAGTGTTATTTCTTTCCCCTTTTGTATTTTTATAAGTCAATTAAAAGAATATGAAATTATACTGTTATTTGGTTCTCTTAGTGAGCTAACTACTACATCATAAACGAATTCGAAAAGCACTTGTATCGGAGAAGATATTTGTAGAAGAAGATTTTCTAGTTTTTTTGCAAACAACTGTAAGAAATAAATGTGCTAAGGTAAAAATGGATTGAATAACCTGTTTAGTAAAAAAAAAGGATAATCTGTACGACCGGCAGCAGATAATAAATCTTGAAGAAGAATGAACTATCTTAGCTCCACCTACAAGTAAAACGAAAAGAGAAGAAAGAAAGAGAAAAAAAGTGATTTATGGATAAGCCATAGTATAACCAATAAGCAAAATACTTTTTCATTTAACAAAGTATCAAATAACAACCTTTTCAAAATTTTACGTGTCGTCTGTACTTTCCTTAAGCTTCTCGCACGTGCTATTAAAAACATTGTGTTTATGTACTAAATTCAATCTATTATTTTATGCATGATTTGTCACATATTCACAATGAAGAACAATAAGAGCGTAACTCGATAAACAAATATATATATGCACATTTACTTTATACTCTACCTATATAAATTTTGTTGATTACATATTATTTTCGTTTTAGAATATAACGTTCAAATTATTATGGCAGAGCCAAATACAACTGGTTTTGGCAAATATATGTCATTCATTACAAACCGTTTACTTGAAAATACTGTATGGACATTTGCTGAATTAGGTATTGCTGATCATCTCGCAGCTGTTGATAAACCGCAAACAGCTGAAGAATTAGCAAAAAAACAAGGATGGAATAGTGAATATCTTTATCGGCTTTTACGAACAGTAACTGATGCTGATATTGTACGTGAAATAAAATCTGATCAAACAATCGAACCAGAAAAA